TTCTTAACAAATATACAATTTAGTATATAAATAGAAGGCAGAGTTAGAACGCCTAAACGCACGAACATGTGTCGGCAGTCCTCACTGTATCCCAGGCCTCCCACAACTCTTAGAGCCCTACACCACAAGTTAAAGACCCGTTTGCTAGCGGGAATGTTTCCCCACGCTAAAATAGCATAAGATATATGGCTTTGTATAAGCGCGAAGTAAGCGGTTTTTACTACTTTTAGTTCCACCTTGACAATAAGGTTTCGTAGCAAAAAGATGTTTTTTGAAATTTTCTTACTTATAACGTCAACATGATGATCGAATTTCAATATTAGAGTGGTTATGTGAACTCTTAAGAATTTGCCAAACGACGAATTACCAAAATTAATAAAATTAAAATTTCTCTGACTTAAAATCATTCTGACTGTTTTCCCATCATTCAAACACAACTCATTCGCGATACACCATTTACGTGCTCTATCTAGAACCAATTCTGATCTTTGAATGACCTCTTCAGCTTCATTGCTTCGGATAATCAAAGTGGGATCGTGAGCATATAATAAACAGTCAATATCCCTAAAATAATACGGAAAGTCATTGAAAAACATCAAAAATAAAAGAGGACCAAGGATAGAACCCTGTGGAACACCCCTAGTCAAAGTAACTCTTTCCGATGTCACTTGACTGTCATCACAAGTCACCTGTTGCGTTCTGCCGGACAAATAAGATGGGATTAAAGCAGCACTTTTGTTATCAAAATTATAAACATTGCGAAATTTATCAATAAGAATGGGATGAGAAACTGTATCCAATGAACGAGACAAGGCCAAAAACAATGACATACAGTATTCACGCTTTTCAAAGCTGTCAAGACAGATATTCACATATTTAACTACCTCATCAGAAGTGCACCTACCCCTTCGAAAGCCAAACTGATGAGGGTGCAATAAATTATTTTGGTCCAAGTATGCGTAAAATGTATGAGTAGAACGTATGAGTAGAACTAACACTAAACCGAGAACTAGAAATATTCGGGTCTCTCAAGACGGCTAAACTTATTAGTTTGTTTTATTAAATTGTGTTTTATAATTTATGAACATAATTCACAAAAATATAGTTGACTTGTTTTGTTTAGTAAAAGTTTTGCTGGGCAACAGTCTCTGTGGATGTATTGACCACACTTTTTACAGGTTATATCTGTATCTTTTCTGCGCAATGCAAGCAGTGTCCTTGAGTTTTCTCATTATTTTTTTTCAATTGTGTTTCGTATTTGCTCCCTATAGTAGTAATGTAGGTAGTAGTTTTTGGCCAAAAAAGTGTTTGTGCAAACGTGATCGCCGCGTATTGTACACCATTAGAAAGAGCAGAAAATTTTCGTCAAGATTGATATAGTTCCAGAGTTTTCTCCTTATCAAATAAGAAAATTGTTTAGATGAAGAGCAATGAAGCGTTTCTGCGTGTAAGGATGTATATTAAGGGTGATTTAAGCATGACGTCAATAGATATTGATCGACGAAAACCCCGATTAAGATATTTGAAGGAGCGCTCTTTCTGATTGTGATAACAGTTTTTTTAAATTCGGTTTGATACCAATTCCACAAAAGCTTGAAATTTAATGATTTTAAACTATTTTAAGTACAGAGCGGTATTCTTCATTTTTTATTGATCTTAGTATCAACTTATCGACAGACGGTTTTAGATAGAGAAACAATTAAGCTTTCAAATGGTGCATTTAGTTTTTCGCTATATCTAACAATAAGGAAGATATCAGCTAAGAAAGTAGACAGGAAGTTACTGGTTAACCCGAGTTGGATTCGAGTGCAGAAAGTTAGCCCCCATTTTTTGGGTTTTAAAAAAAAAAAACCAAAGTTGAAGTTGTTTCTGAAGAAGGTTGCAACATGGCATCCGAAACGTCAAAAATTTTTTCAAAAAACTTCCAAAATTTTTTTGAGATATTTGGTCGCATTTCTAAATCCACTCGAGATGGTTTCCAGGATTACTTTTAACCTATATATTAAGTTATCATCAACTCCTGTAATTTCTGCTGCTAGCTCATGGTCCGAAAGAAATCTCTTACTCGTGTTGCCATTTCTGTTTTTCTTTTCTTTACTACAGCTATCTCAGTCTCTAACTTTATTTGCCATTTCTTTACAGGTAACTTGTAAGAAAGATGTAAAATCGATTCAAATTCGGGCATGTAATACAGAAAGACCAAAAAAAACCAAGTGCCTCCGTTTTATCTACTGTTTTTATGTTTAAATAATTAAAATCTTTTGAGGTTAAACCACAGATATAACATCTCATGGTAGAAGTAGTGCCTGTAATAGCATTGCAGACATTTCCATCTACCATGGTTAGCATCATTGTGTGTTTAACTGAATAACTTTTGTTAGAGAGTGTAACTGTAAAATTTTGTAATTAATCTATTACATTTTTAACATATTTTTTGTAACTCGCGACGGTAATGAAAGCTATTACAGTACTCAAACGGGTGCTGCAATGAGACTCCTTACAGCATCCGATGCTGTAATGAGATTTTAGTAACATTTTATGGAACCAGTTCAAGTTGGTGACATTGGGTCGTTAATGTTGCTAGTTGTCAATGTGACAATTTTTGTCTATGGATGTTTAAACACGTTCTTAGCAGGTCCACAATGATGAGGACATTGAACTCTGATTAATTTCTCTTATTTTGGGAGGTGTACATGAAACATTTTTTTCAGGTGAATACATTTTGTGTTTTGACAATTTCTAATTGTCAATTCAAATTTCTATTTTATGTGTTGCGGTGTTACCAACTGCTACATACCTATTTCCCTACATTGTCAAAATTTATTTTATTCTTGTTAAAGAAAAAGGATAAAAACGCGAATTACAAAAGTAGCATAAAAACCACGTTTCGTAAGACTTAAAGCACTCATTCATTAAAAAACTCGTGGCTTCGCCACTCGTTTTTCAACTTGAATTCGTGCATTTCAAGCGTGTCTTACGAAACTTGTTTTTTAATATATCTCTTCTTTAGTTAAGTCGGTGGCTTCTTTACTAAATCTTATCTTCTATCAACAGTTTCAGATATCAATAATTAATCATTGTCTTAATAAAGTATCTGAAACAACTGGTTGCCATGGTTACGCAGCAGTAGCCATACTGCTATTTTTCTACCTCCAATGAATGGGAAATCATGAAACTTTCTGACAATATTTCTCGAAAATTTTGTTATGTAGTTAATATTAATTTTGGCGGTACCAAATTCAGAAAAAAATAGCAATAACGTCATAACTTGTTTAAAAATGGCGGTAAATTTTAAATTCTTAGACCCGTCTCAGCGATTTTTCCATAAACTGTTATTAGTTGTTCTAACGAATTTTAATATTTTATTTTATTAATATATGGGAACACATATAGTATATATAAATATATCTCTGTGTGGGTGGGACACAGAGATATTTAGTTTTTGGTTTTTGTGTAGTGTATTTTTGTTTGCTGATCGAATAGTGGGATTATTCATTTGTTGATTTATTATTTTTCTTTTTAGGTCTGCATTTTGCTGTATTTTTAGGAGATATGATTTTGCAAAATTAATGTCCGTGTAACCAAAAAAACCTTTTTTCCCTAGTTTAAACGTAAAACACACCTAGAACAATTTGAATATTATTGTTATATATTTTTTAATTGTTATTGTGTAATTTAAAACCGCTGACGCAAGAATTACTGACTTTCAAAAACTTTAATTTTTATAGAGTAAAGTGTCCTTTATAGACTTGTTCTAATATGGAATTGAAAATAGAAAAACTATGGTTTAAATTTTTGCAGCCAAAGCTATTTTTAGTTATAACTTCGTAATGATGTATCCCATAATTTAGATTTTCTACAACAATAACTAGAACACCCTAGAACAACTAAGAAAATCAGATTTTTCAAAAAATGTCAAAAAAACCCGTTTTTTCGGTTTTTCTCGCCGAGTTTTTATTTTTTCTATTTGCCGCTTTGGAACAATATACTCTAGAACAATCTAGCAACAATGAAAAATTTTAAAATCGTAAAATGGGCTAACTTCCCGCACTCATTGGATTCTCTGTTATAACGGGATCTGTTACATCGAGGTTATACTGTAATAGAAAAGATTAATTATGGAAATTTTTGTTCATTTTCGCGTCCTTTATTAATTCACCTTTAATAAAAATCCCTATAATTTCCATTGTTTGTTCAATTCTGGTCGGAATCAGAAGAGGTTTTTCCCAGTTTTAATTAAAACAACCCTCGAGTCGGTCTTGAACTTTTATTTTTCCATGGGTTTTCCAATTTTAAAGTACCACTAGAGGAAATTTAAAACGTATTTTACGAAAACTAGATAACAGGTATACGCGCTAGTATGTATTAAAAAAAATTAAAACCCAATTTCAACTCATTTTAAACCTGAAAATTTTATCAATTTATTTTTAATCTAAACAAATACACTTTTCAGAAACTCTTGTTTTGTGTTCTTTAATTTATGTAGCCTTCTAAAACATATCGAATTCGCTACGATCAAAAATGCCTCGAGGTGCTTCGCAATAACAAATTGATTCTCGATATCGGCACAATGGACAGGTCGGCTTGTTCGATTTTATTAAAACCCTACAAACGAGTTTATGCTCCATAAACCCAGCGTACAAAGGTATCGTTTTCCATCATTTCCTTGTCTATCTCAACGAAAAGAATGCTTTTATAGTAAGTTGATGCATCCTCACCAAACCACATTATCAGAAATGAAGTCGCAAAAATTGCTTTAATAAAACTAAAAAGATAAGGGAAATGCAAAATTTTCAGTTCTTAAAGAGAAAAATATGAACTCTGCCGATGACAAGGGTCTGACGTCTTTGTTACTAGCAGGATATAATTCTTAAAACGTTCACGTAGATACGAAATCGATTGACCTCAAAAAATCGTACTAATAAAGTTAGTTTAAGTTAGTTTAATTATATCCATACAAAGAGTTTCAATTTAACTTATGACTAACTCGGATTTTCCAGGTTCACGGAACTTGGGGTCTGCCGGGATTCGTTTGCGATTTCTACATCGCCATGGACGTTACCTGTTCCACTTCGTCAATTTTTAATTTGGTTGCAATATCGATAGATAGGTAAGTTTATCGACGGCAATTATTGTTAATGGAAGTCTAGAATTGTTCCTTTAGACCATATCGTTAGTACCGAAATTGGTATTAAACCCTCGGCATCTGCGAATTCCCCACGTCTCCCCCAAAAAGATTAATTGCGCAACATAAATTCACGACCACCCCAACCTAACTAATGTTGCGTTTAAGAGTTTTGCGAACGATAAAAACAACGGATTATTTTTTTGGATTGATGATTTCACTATTATTTAATTTTTTT